TACTCAGTCTATTTGACCAATTTCTACTATTTTCCACTGAAGTCTGTCCAGAAGGTCTAGACTATAATTTTGCCCTCTTAGGGTTCATACTAAAATATTCATCTCCCCTTAACACATTTAGGTGCTAATCTCTACGGCATAACATCATACGCCAACTCCTATAACTGCACGGTAATATATTAATGGTCGATAATAAGAACAAAACTAATAAGAACCATTTTAATGTCGTTATCTTTTCCTGGGACGCCATAATATAGGATCATATCAGGGCATCATCATATAGGCGTGCCTTTGCTTTCGTCGTCTCGTTGTAACGAACGGTTGCTGTGTCGGCAGTAGTGTTGAGTGTTTTACGGTGTCTTTGTTCTAAGCGGGGGCAGGGCGTGTTGATAAAGATGTTAGGGGCACATCTTCTCGTCGCCATAGCAACCATGAGCCTTCCATCAGGTAAGCCTGGAAAATGTATCCCTACTAGAGAACAGTAACTTTGTTTCACATAACCGGTAAAGTCTGTCACACATGGCTGAATATGGACTACTGAATTCGAACACTACTAGTGGCGGAGCTTAGCCTCCTTTTCAGGCGTTCCCGGATCGGTCGTTTTTTTTCTGATCAATCGTAGATCGCACGCAATAGAAGCTCCGTAGGGTTATATATATATATATGTAGGGTTGCCGGCCGGAGCTTCTATTGCGTGCGATCTACGATTGATCAGAAAATACCCCCCCCCCCAAAAAAAAACGACCGATCCGGGAACGCCTGAAAAGGAGGCTAGGCGGAGCTCCCCATATAGGCTACTGTTCGGCTGCGCCAGTGCAATGTTTCAAAATGTTGAAAACATTTGGGTGTGGTTTGTTGGTGTTTGGGAGTAGTTTAATATTATTTTGACTCAAATCTGATTCCTTTCGTAGAGAAAGGTAGGCTTGGCCTAAATCTGGTCAGACGGCCACAGTCCAAACTTTAGCCAACCTTAGCAGGTTGGCTGGTGTTCGGGGAAGGTTCTGAATGTGTGACAGGACTATTTTTTTATTGGTATAACACATCAGTTTGGTTAAGTTATCTATAAGCTGCGTAAGACCGGATTTTGTAAGGTTTGATCCACTCATACCGGGATGACTCTTTCGAGTATAAAGTCGATTGAGCTGATAAAATAGACGTAACAATGGGGTCCGCTAGGGATTCGAACCCAAAACCTTTAGATACTAAACCCTGACTACCTTGCCCCGTTCCCCAGGCCTGGCGCTGCAGTGTTACATCTGTCATGAAGTGGCGAGCAGGGAAGTCTGTATGAGCCGCGAACTGACGGACTGTGCGCCGAACCAGACAGCGTGTATGACAACACACTTAAGTGAGTTCAAATCAGAAAGACCTGAGCGTCTTTAGTTGTACAATTGCAAGAAAGTTGATCATGGAAAATGTAAGACGGCAGAAGAAATGTGAAATGTAATTTGATTGAGTTGAAAAATGTCGCATGGCATCGTCATTTCACGCACGCACGCACGCACGCACAAACAAACACACACACACACACACACACACACACACACACACACACACACACACACACACACACACACACACACACACACACACACACACACACACACACACACACACACACACACACACACACTTTACTGATCTTTACTGGCCGGTTCATCGTCTTCATCATCATGCATGTCGGGAGTTGTAGTTCCCGGTCCCAAACCCTCTCTCGCCAGTCCACTTTGTCCGTCATGGCGCTCGCCAGGTACTCCTTTGGAAGACCCACATCAGCAGCCAGCAGGTCTATGTACGTCATACGAGGACGCCCAGGTTTAGAATGCCCTTGTTTGGGCTCCCACAGGATCAGTTCACTAGCTAGCTCAGTCTTATTTCTGTAGACATGTCCTGCGAAACCTGTTCTCCGCTGTCTGATAAGCTCAGACACAGCTGGAATGTCTCCGTAGAGCTCCTCCTTAGTAGGATGTTGCTGCCATGTCTTGTTCAATACTGCACGTAGCATCCGTGTGTAAGTTCCATCTAGCCTTTTTTCCAGCTTCTTTGTCAAAGTCCATGTTGGTGACCCATACAACAGTACTGACTCTACCACCGCTCTAAAGAAGTTTCTTTTCGTGTTGTCAGGTAGAGAAGATTTCCATATTTCTCTCAGTTCTTGTAGCGCACTCCATGCTTTTGCTATACGGATTAGCACATCTTTTTCTGTGGATGAGATATCGCTTCCCAGGTAGCTAAACTGTTTTACTTCTTTTAATCGGGTTCCATTCAGGGTGCTGATCATGCCACTCTGGTTGAAGCAAATGAATTCAGTTTTCTTGGCATTTACATAGAGGCCAATCCCAGAGGCTGCCTCTTCTAGTGCATGCAGCAGTCTCTCTGCACCAGAGATCCAGTCAGCCAGTAGTGCAAGATCGTCCGCGTAGTCCGCGTCCGTGATCTTTTTGGCGGGGTGTCTTCTACTTCTTGCTGTTTGTAGGGTGAAGCCATAGTCTGCATGGAGGTCTACAGAAGTGCGCAAAACATAGTCTAGGGCTATAATGAACAGAAAAGGAGCCAGGGTGTCTCCTTGTAACACTCCTGCTTGTATGGTAAAGAAATCTGTATCACCATCCGGCGAGCGCACCATCGATCTGGTCAGCTTGTACATCATCATGACAGCGTTAATCGTTTCATCTGGAATACCGTACGCTCCCAGTATCTCATCGTCTTATTAGATTATATCTGATAATATATCAATTATACATGCGAGTGGGTGCATGATATCCCTCTCTACCTGACCTTACAGGCGAGGACACCTACAGATCGATTATGGTCTTAATTATCGAAATTCCAAAACAATGTCTTGAAAGTAATGAACAAGAAATCGGAGATTTCGAACCCCTGGGAAGTATGTTTTAACTTAAAAGTTTTTATTCGCACAACCAAAGCCCTGGCGCACTTTAATTTCAGCGGACCGAGGACAGAAACCCTTTAACTTTAGGCTCACAGCGTGTTTTGACTATAGCTTTAGGTGAGTATACCCCCAGTTACTGTGTGAGTGGGCTTACTTTCCCAGCCTGCGAGACCATTTGGACTGCCAACTTCACCTTAATGTCAATCTGCGGTTTCAAAATCTCCTCTTCCCCCTCCTGCCACTCTACTGTAGACTGCTAATAAAACACACCACAACTAAACAGAGGCAAACACTCCTAATACGATATCTCAGTAGCCGGAGGTTCCCCGGTCATTTACACAAATGTAACTTCGTTTCTACCCGTGTCCCATCAGAAAACCTGGCCGGAGAGTTCTGGGACAACGCCTGCATTACACGGGAGAGGTGTGACCGGTTTGTCCAGCAGTATTCCGACCACTGCCCCAAGCTTGACGAGTCCATCTGTGTGTCCTGCTGCGACAAGACCGGCTGTATGGGGACGGGTGCAGCGGCCACGGTCAAGGCCAACACATGGGGAGCGATTGGAACTATGGTGGTGACAGCGGTCTTTGCTGTTTTGAACCACTTCATATTGCTCGATGTACTAGTAGTAATGCTCTAAGTCTGCCGTGCAGAAGTCGATGATAGAATATGTTACACATCTTTTAGTGACGCCTCATGGGGCGAACCCAATAGCATATAGTATATCCAGTTGACTTTGCTGGATTTTCTGTTAGGTTCACTGGAATCGTTAATATCTCTTGTAGAGATTAACGGATCGTATTGCATAATTATTGATAAAATTCTACATGTATTAACGTTATAATACCATATTGGTAAATGACTTTAGATAACCACACCTACAGGTGTATATATCATGTAATAAATTTATTAACAGATAAATACCACTTGATAATAAGCTAAAACTGTCGCCATGGCGATAGTTTTAATATATTGTCAGCCTTGTTGAATCAGCCCTCGCGTGATATGTTAAACGGCTATCACCATTACGCGACAATAGTCAAGTGGTGTTCATCCGTCAGTCTGACTATATATATAGGCAGCTTATATAGGCCGGCTTCCAATAGTCAAGTAGCTATATACTGTATGGAAAATGACGACATTTATTGTGACTATCTAATACCTGTTCTCCAAAAGTGTCAATAAAGGTTCAGTGCTGCTCGTCGTGCTTGATGATCGCGCAACTGAATGTGTTCTCATACGATAAGATGTGATTCATACGTTATATCGACAGAGGTCGCTGTGACACTATATGTCAGGGTAGGGTCGGAGGTCATGGATCCGGAGAGCAGCAGCGAGTCTACTTCGGGAGAGAGTCAAGTTTGCTCTTTTTTTGGCAAAACATGTCGATAGATATGCATACCACGAGCAGACAATGTTGTTTAGGGCACTTAGACTCGATAACCCAATAACATGTTATACATGTAACGCAAGGTTACCAGTTTACGGTCGATTTATGGAAAATTGCATTTTTTGTGAAAACGCGTGGGCAGAACCAAATATTTAACCCATGTGAGGAGACAGTAGTTCGTCAGTTATAAAGTGCGTGTTGTGTTACTTTCTTCCTTGTATCTTTAGCGCCGCGCCAGCATGTATTTATGTAGTAGTCGTCAGCTAAGAATTGCTCTAGGGTGACCAATTAACGGTCACTTGAGTCTTTCTCCTTGTAGTTCTATACTTATAAGCACACACATCTTTCCGTCAATTTTCAGTGTTCAAGGCTTCTAGCTTTATTTTTTTTAAAGGGCCACGTGTTTTCCGTGTTGTGTTTGTTTACTTCACTTTGCCTCGCTATTTTGACATTTCCGCCGGACTTGTAGGGCCAACAAAGACTTTAATATATAAAAGTTAGAGCTGATAAGCCAGAGGTCCTTCTGAACAGAGAGTACGCAGAATATCGGTGGCGTCTTTAACAATCGGCTTGAAGAAGTACGTAATGGGACAGGGCCATCCCACAAGAAGGTCAAAAGATCTAATGAACGTCTACAAAAAACCCAAGAAATTAAATTGGTGTGGCCCTCTTTATGTCATTGATACCCTTGATCCTCTTCTCCCAGTTACCTTCGTTCTAACTTCGACCTGTGTTCAGACTACAGAGATGTCTACAGGACCCAGGCTGAGTGGTGTGTTTGCAGTGCACAAGCCTGTGGGTTGGACATCTGCAGATGTGGTCAGGAAAATCCGAGGTGTTATATGTACAGGTGAGGTATGCTTCACTGAAATACATGTGATCACAGTCTTCATTTGTCATCAAATTCGAAGGAAAACTGTTTATTTAGCACAGTGTCATGTCTCTGCCTAGAACTGCCAATGGTTGTGTGAAATGAGAAATCCTTACAGACCACTTTCAAGTTGCTTTAATAACTGCTTTTCCCTGTTGACTTTTTGACAGAGCTGAAGAGGAGAGGTACCCAGGTCACCCGTCGCTCCATCAAACTTGGCCATGGAGGCACGCTGGACTGTAGGGCAGCTGGGGTTCTAGATCAGACCATCTTACTATCATTTCTGGTCTCTTAATACTGCCAAAACATTGGTGGTCTTGTGATTAAGGTTATTTACTTAGAATTTAAAGGTTCTAAATCCAGGCAGGCCCCACTGTTGTACATTTGGGATTGGCACACTCGACTCGGGTGAAATTGAGTACCTAGCTTCTAGGCTGGGGACATCCTCTCTATATATTATAAATGTGTTGGAAAGACTTGGAGGAAAGCCATACATTGAGCATGTTTAAAGAGCCTACTACACTTATCGAAGAGTAGAGGTTCGTCTTCTTGTGAGTGGATAAAACTTACAGTCTGGTCTTATGCTGCTTGTACCTATTGCACAGAGGTAGTATGCCTAAAGGTGGTTTACTGGTTATGTGAAACAACAAAATATTGTGCAAATCTTGCTTATCAAGTCATAATGAATATTTAACTGGTGTCAAAGCAAAAATGTGCCATGACATTACCATTATTATTATTATTATTATTATTATTACACAGACAGGGAACATGATCTTGTACATTGAGGCAGTGGAAACTTCATATTTCCTTCCTTATTTTCCCACTTTGCAGTTTTAGGTCTGGGTAGAGGAACAAAGCAGCTTCATGACCTCAGTGCAACACAAAAGGTTTGATTTCACTTCACAATCATTTGAATGTACAGCTATAAATGTCAAAGTATACTGTGGTGTATAGTTATTTCTTAAAGATCAACAAGATATTTGTTAAATTTTGATATAGCAGTCAGTTTCTTGCCACAGATGACATAATTAATGAATACATTGTACATGTACATTGTAGTTTTGTTTCAGCTATAGCCATTACGTGTATCTTAGAGGTTGTGGACTTGACTGTCAGCTGTGCATCTGCAGACTCTATGATCACTTTTGCCTACCTTTTGCTACCTTACAGAGGTACATAGCAGAGGGACAGTTGGGAAAGGCCACAGATACCTACGATACTGATGGAAAAATTACAGAGGAGAAACCTTTTGGTAAGTCATGAACCAGAAACTTTCAAAGGAAAATACACGATTGAGCGTTAGTTGAAAAGTGCCATTACTCACCCTGCTAACATGGCATTGCAATATCACCCAACAAACATCCTGATAACATATGTCTGCTATTTGGTTGAATACCTAAACATCAAATGTTTTGTTCTGTAGATCATGTCACAGAAGACACCTTGAGACAGACCATGGACACCTTCAGAGGGGAACAGATGCAAGTGGCTCCCATGTAAGCTCCTACTTCGGTCTTTGTACTTCAGCAGAATCAATGTCAGTTTTGTCTAGCAAAATGCCATGACAAGTTTAGCAGTGCATATTATTATCAAATCTGGATACACAGGTATTTTCTTTTGTGGCTTATCTGTGGGTTTGTGTGTCTGTTTGTCCAGACAGAGTAGGATGACAGCACATGGGTCATGGTGGGTGGGGCAGGGGAAGATTGACAGGCAAAATGACAGGTCCAACCTGAGAAATGGAGTAAACTTGAGATTAGGGCACATCAAAAAGTATGTAACATCAGTATATTCTAAGAAGGCAAGGATTTCAAGTCTAAATGGATAAAAAAAACCTTCACGTATAATAATGAAATGTTTCTGTAGTTACTCAGCACTGAAGGTTGCGGGTGAGCGGCTGTCTGATCGGGCCAGGAGAAGAGAGGCAGTGAAACCCAAGCCTCCCCGCCCTGTGGTCGTCCACTCTCTGGAACTCCTCAGTTTCAACCCTCCACACTTCCAACTTGGTAAGGATAACACAACGCAAGGAACATATTGCACGGCTCAGTTTGGTTCAAAATTTCATAGCAAATGCTTTAATGTTGATGCTACTTCAGAGAATGGAAACACTTTTTTGTAGCTGAACTGTGGGGATTTTGTGTCTGTCTTGTCAGGGAAGGTTGATAGCACATTGATGAGGGGAAGATTGACAGGCACGATGACAGGTCAAAAGGTAAGACACAAGGAATGGGGTGAACTTGACAGCAGGGCTGACAGCATGTGGATGAGGAAAGATTTGAAATGGCAGGTCAAATCAACACAGGAAATGGGGTGAATTTGAAGGTCACAAGAACTCAAAATACTTCCTGAAAAAAAGAAGTGAAAGTCTGAAATCTTGTTTTTACATGCCATGAAAAGAGCCTCAAATCAGACTTGGCATGGATGAAACCCTCTTATGTTTCTGTTGCAGGAGTCACCTGTGGAGCAGGCTTTTATGTGAGGTCTCTTGTTTATGACCTTGGCCATGGTCAGTATTACAAACCCATATCCAGTTCCAATGATACCTTTAGGTAATGTCTGTGGTGTTTTCAGGAAAGACAAAAAACTACAATTTTCTACAATGTTCAGTTATGAATCAGAAGATTCTGTGTCTAAGCAATGTTATATGAATCATGAGAACTTTGCCAATGTAATAAAAGTATATCAGCTTTACTTTTGACATCAACACTTTGAAGACATGAAAATAAATCAGTACCAATTGTGTCAGTTTAACAAACAATCTGTTGCATCAACTTGCATTAAATAACATGCAGCGTGTACAGTATCAATCAACACTTGACATGTGCTTGAGTCCAAGTCTTTTCTTAAGTTTTTTTTCCCACTTTTCACCATTCCTTCAGCTGTTGGCAGCTGTGCCCACCTGACATCCCTGTGTAGAGTCCAGCAGGGGATATTCCCACTGGACCAGGCACTACCAATGGAGAAGTGGACATTACCTGACATAGAGGCAGCTGTGAGCACCTGACAGCTGTGAGCACCTGACAGCTGTGAACACCTGACAGCTGTGAACACCTGACAGCTGTGAACACCTGACAGCTGTGAACACCTGACAGCTGTGAACACTGACAGCTGTGAACACCTGACATGCAGGGGCTGGGTCCCTCTCACAGGATCAGGTGCCACAGCTGGGGAAGGGGACATTACCGGAAATAGAAAGCTGTGAACACCTAACACCTGTGTACACCTGACAGTCACTCATGATCACACTTGCGCAGATGCTACAGCTGCAGAAGGGGACATGTATTACCAGACATAGAGGCAGCTGTGAACACCTGACAGACAGCGTGAGTCTCTAACACTGGAGCAGAGACTACCAACATTACCAATCATAGAACGGTACTGCAAAGCTGCCATCAGTACTTTTTTGGATATCTGGGCAAGTTCGTGCAATTGTCATCATCTTCTGTACATTTGTTTAAAAGTTACACACATTTGGCACAATATTTAAAACAGAATATCCCATATATACCTTCCAGTATTGGAGAAACTTTATAACCAACTTAATTATATTGAATGCCGCATCAGAAAATGTCAACACTTTACTGGTCCACCTGTACAAACACATTCCATGGTCCACACCACACATCAATGACTCTTCTCTGCTTGAAGAACTCCACTGTACGAGGAACCTCTGACCTCTCTGTCTGTCCTCTGCCTAATTGACCGTAGGCACCTGTGTCGATGGGAGAAAATTGAAGGTTTAGTCACCAAGGACTACAAAAAAGCACCCTTTACTTTATTTAAGAAAACAATTGACCAAACTTTACATCCAAAATGAAGAAAGATGAGAGAGACAACCAGAATAGACAAATCGCATAGCCCTGCACGCCTCTGTGAAGCTTACAAATGCAAAATCAAAACATAAATACGCAAAAATAATTCAACAAATATGCAAATATTTAATAGACACGCAGCCTCTCTCTCATTGGTCAAACTGCTAATTGCCATGCAATCATTGGTTGAACTGCTAATTGTGATGGACAGTCAGGGTCAGTCTATATTGAAAAAAGGAATCTCAACTTGCCCCATCCCCACGTTAACAGCTGTCCCTCCTCTGTACAGGTGAGAGAAAAAAAAGATCATCAGAAAAAAACATAAATTACAAGGAATTCATTCAAATATCTGTCCTAATAAACTGTAAATAACCTGACATGCACAGGTTATGAAATTTTGGAAGACTACTTATGTGCTATCTTGGCAATTTATGAAATACGTGTACATGACGGCCAGTATACCTTGTCTTAATATTTTCTCTTTCTTGAGTCAGGATTGATTTTAGTGAATAAATGAATAATTTGTACTTTTATAAACTTTCCCCACACTTACTAGTGAGAGCCGCTGTATGCCTGGACCCACAGCTGACCTTTGACACCTCCTGACCAGTGGGCAGGTCTACTATGATAGGGGTGGCCTGTACCAGCACCTCCGCTATGCTGCCACCTTGCAGTCCCGCCTCGCTGACAGAAGTTTCCTT